ACTCTATGCATGTTCAGATCACTGTCGAAGCTGTCGATGGTGGAACCGCCATCTCGATTTCCAAGGGTCGTTTCGAGCAAGCGTTCAAGTCTTTTGTCGCGGCATGCGGAGTCAGCCCTGGGACCGTCGTAGCAGCGGGTGGGAGTGTTGGTGGGAACACCAAGATAACAGTATCCGCTGTCTAGTCAAACGAGGGAGATTACGGAGGGGTGCAAGCGTGGACTAGGCTAGTGGTTAGCCTCCGAATCGTGGGAGGTCGGTTGTGCAAGCACTCAGCCCAATCTCGCGGACACGACCAAATATCCACGCCCGTAGCTACCATCACCTCGTCATATTGGCACTAAAAACCTGGCTAAGACTCGGCAAGGATACGTACGTGTCGGCGAGGTGTTGGAGGGTTGCACCAGTCGCTGTAGCACCTGTAGTAGAGTATTTTGCAAGAGATTCCTTATCGTTCTCTGATCGTATGTTCTTGAGTCTACATGTAGGTGTTTTTCTGGAGATTCGAACCGGGTCGGTGTATCCAGGCACGTCTCCGGAGGAATGACTCTAAAATTCTGAATGGCATAAGCGGAAGGCCAAACACGGCCAAACAAAACGTCGCCGCTCGACACCTCCCCTTTCTGCTGCTTGCTTTGTTTTCTGCCTCTCTTTCTCCCCTCTCCTCCTTCTTAATCTCCTCTTCGAGGTTGAGCTAGTTGTCTCTCCTCTCCCCCCCTCTCTACTTTGTTTGGGCTCGACTCGACTCGTCATTCCTTTTGGTCATCCCTGTCTTTACGCGTTATCCGTTCAGACTCGTCATCCAAACAAGCACCCCGACATTCCCTTTTGTGCAAGTTGGTGATTCGTCACGTCATTGAAAATGGTGTTCATCCGTAACGCTATCGTCGGAGCCGTGCTGGCCGTTTCGAGTGTCAATGCATTTTTCAGAATGCCATGTTCGCAGCCCGTCGTCGTCGAGAGATCAGACCCGTGAGCACTTTCTCATCATTATCTTTGAATTTCTACTCGGTGTGCTGACTGGCAACATCTCGTCTACGCCACCTTTTCTACTTTTGGGGCTTTCTTCGGGCAAAAAAACAGAATTGTCAACCCGGGCGCTATCTCTGGTCATGTTCACACTGTCATGGGGGGCTCTGGATTCAACTTTACTCAAAACTTTGATGCTGCTCGTGCTTCTACCTGCACTTCTTGCAAGGTAAGTACTGGCCCATACCCATGTCCGGCGCCACAGCCGCTCTTCGTTATCCCACCCTGCATCCTTGCGCGCGCGCCCTCTCTCCTAGCGATGGCTAATACACACGCTCTTGTAATTCAAATAGGCCAAAAAAGACCGTTCCAATTATTGGACCCCGTCCCTGTTTTACCAAGGGTCTGATGGCAAGTTTCAACGAGTCAAGCAAATTGGAGGCGCGACCATTTACTACCTCCAACGAAGAGCCAACGATCAAGAGGTGATCCATCCATTTCCGCCTGGTTTCCAAATGCTCGCCGGAGACCCGTTCCTGAGATCTTATAATGCCAAGTATGTCCCTTTCCGACTATACACTTGTCGCCAAGTATAGCCCTCTTGTTTCACCCTGACATTATTCATTCATCACGATGCTTATCAATGATTACAGTTCTCTTAGCCAACAAGCCGTTTCCTTTGTCTGTCTCAACTATGCAGGCCAATCGCCCCAAACTCCCGGCATCCCGAATACCAACTGCCCCAATGGTCTGCGCTCCCAAATCTTCTTCCCTTCCTGCTGGGATGGTGTTAACCTCGATTCTCCCGACCACAAGTCCCATGTGGCCTATCCTGACCGAATGGACAATGGCGTCTGCCCCTCGACCCACCCCGTTCGTTTGATCTCGATATTTTACGAGATCATTTGGGATACCAATCCTTGGAAGGATCAATGGTGGAAGGGTGGTTCTCATCCCTTTGTGCTCTCTACGGGTGACCCAACTGGCTACGGCTTCCACGGTGGTACGTTATTCTCTGTATACTTGACCTCGCCTTTCTGAACCTCTTGTTCCACCATAGATTTCCTTAATGGTTGGGATGTCGACGCACTCCAACGCGCCATTGACAAGTGCACGCAAAACTCGGGCGTGATTGAAGATTGCGCAGCTGACCTCGAGCTCTTGTCCGACGACGAGATGCAGCAATGCTCCAAACCATCTCGTGTCGATGAGAACATTGATGGTGTACTCGACACCCTTCCAGGATGCAACCCCGTTCAACAAGGCCCCGGACGAGCCACCCCTCAGACCTGCACCAAGTCCGCGCCCAGGATCTTGAGCGCAGACCAAGTGAGCTTTATCAAGCAGGATATTCCCAAATGGGATGGTGTCGGATGTGCCAAAGACAACTTGCAGAATCGTCTGTTGCCGACCAAGTTTGCCGAGTGAGTGGGATGATCGCGCTAACTGGTACCCCTGTTCCAGGGGATACCTGTTGAGTACCGTTATTGACCAGAGGCTGACCCGTGTTTTCCCATTACTAGCTCCGCCATGACGATTGAAAAGTGCCTTGACAAGTGTTTGAGCAACGGATTCAAATATGCTGGTCTCCAATGGAGTGTGGAATGCTGGTGTGGTAACAACGTGCGTCGCCCGCCGCAGCCTGATCGAGTATACTCATGTTTGTTTAATACAGTTTAACGACGCTAGTGCAAACCTCTATGGAAGTTGCACAATGCCTTGTGGTGGTGACCCCATCGAGAAGTGCGGCAATGGTGGAATACTGTCCGTCTACAAGTATAACCCCAACAAGGTTGGAGGAACGACCCCATCGTCGTCTTCATCTTCGGTGCCGTCTACTCCTACGACCACTTCGACCACCAGCGTGTCCACCTCCACTACTCAATCTCAGACCATTTCTCTGCCTACTCCTGGAACCGTGACAATTAGCGCTTCGATCTCTGCCCACTCTCCCACCACGACAACCACCAGCGCGTCAACTAGCTCGTCATCTACCTCCACCCAAGGTCCCGACTCTTCTAGGACCAGCTCGAGCTCTGCACCGAGCACTACAGCCTCCAATACTCCTCCCGGTGCGTATGAATATCCACATTTTATGCACTGGCATGTGGAATCTTATTAACGCATCTTCTCCAGTCACTGGCACTGCTCCTCGTGGATGGGTGTATCGTGGTTGCTACGAAGACAAATTGAACCCTCGCACCCTCAATGGAAGCGGCATGTACTACAAAGTCCCCATGACGCCCCAAGCTTGCACGGACCACTGCGCCCAGCGAGGCTTCATTATTGCCGGAACAGAATATTCGGGTGAGTGTCTCACCTTTACGCACAACCTTCCGCCTATTATGAGACGAATGCTGACTCGAGGTCGATAGGCGAATGCTTTTGTGGAAACCGTATGACCCACAGAGCCATCAAGAAGCCAGAATCCGAATGCAACATGCCATGCAAGGGAGACCCATCGATCATGTGTGGAGGCCCGGCTCGCCTTACTGTTTACACGAGGGATATGAGGCAACTTAAACGAGACGATGAAGTAGATGTGCTCGCTCGTGATGATGATATGGATCTCGTACAGCGCAACACCAGCGACACAGGCTCATCAATCCAACGCTCCAAACGCCATACTTTCGGGGCTGCGCGCTCTCACCATCAGCGCCGCTCTGGACCTGGTCGCAATCGTCTTTCTCATGCCAATGGATTGTTCTGATCATAATTTGGTCACCCATTCATTCCATCTTGGATGATTCCATCACGTCGGTCTTGTTTACGGTCACTCTGGCTACGATTTCTCGACCCTTTAACGTCTGCGTACCTCCATTCTCTTCCGCGAATGCGATGGTTCGAAACTCTTATACCATACCAATCAAATTTAGAGCTGGTATTGAATTATCAGCAACCCGTCCCCAAATCTCGATCTTCTCGAAGAAATCAAGCAGGCGAAATTCATGTCTCAACCAGAAGACAAGCGTGGAAAATAATAAGAAAACACCATATATTCCAAAGAAAGAAGAAAACCTATCCACTCCTTTTGTACACACTCCTTTTTCGTTTTGCTCGGTCCTCAACCGCGGTACTTGCTCGACTGCAGGCCGCCTTTCAACTCTCGACTCTCGTAACCTCACTGTATATGCAGCATCGCTGCTGGATGTAGCGATTTAATAGTCTCCTCATCCACTCCTTCCCTATTCCTTCACCTCCTCCCATCCCTTTGTTTCCTGCTTGGTCCCATATATACCTTTCTTCCTATTTGGGAACCGGCTTTCATCAACGAAAGAAGATAGGAAACCGACACCACTTTTCGTGGATAACGTCCATGATCTACCACGAGCCACGATTCCAGACTGGCGATCACTTGTACTCGACACGATCTTTGCAACGCGGTGGGCACGATTACCATCAACCCCTTGACGGGGAACGACATGTATACGCGTTGTACTCGAGGTCTTTTTGGAATGGTTTCCACCAATGGACTTGGCGTTTATCTCTCGCCTCCAAAAACGCCCAAGCAGTCGGTCGAATCAGAACTCTGATGTCTTCCTTTCCTATTTCCCTTGCTCTTGAGGTCCACGCTGTGCTGTTGTCCTTGTTCAATCAGTATTTTGATCACTTCATTGGGTTTGTGGTTATCCTGTCTAGCCTTTGTACGTAGATTCGTGCGAGTGTCATTGAATGACATGCTGTTGACAATCGTTAATGCTCGCTCTGTGATGAGAAAGATTGGGTAGGACATCGACTCGCCTCTGTTTTGTAGCCAATTTAGAGTATATCAAGAAATTGACTTCCTTCACCTCGAGAGGCGGTGTCCAACGATGTCAAACAAAGCAAGAAGCTCTTGACC